CGCGTGCCGCCCCGCCCTGCTCCCGTCCAGCAGCCAATCAGCGGGCGCCCAGCACGTTGGGGGCGGGGACCCGCGCGAGGCCGCCAGCGCGTGGTCGGTGCCGTTGAGGGTTCCCGCCACGGCTGCTGGCGGGTCTGCCCGGCAAGATTTCTCGCTGGCTGGCCTTCTTTTCCCTCCCGCACTTTGGCGGGGAGGGGGGGGACCCTCGCGTCGGCGCCCCCGTCCACGATGACCTGAGAGAAGCCGAGGAAGGCGTCCATGCGGCCATCTCCGCCATCGCCCCCAGCTGCTGGCCTCCGAGGGGAAGGAGCACCGAGGCGGTGACGGCGACGGTTAGCGCCCCCCCCCCCAACATCCCTTCCTTCTGGCTTTGCAAAAGATGAAACCCCAGGAAAGAGTGTCCAGATCGACTGCAAAATGGTCACGCTCGCCACCGGCTACCCGGGAGCAGCCCCTCCATCCGTGCTTCCAAACGGTTGACAATGAGAGCTTTCCCGGTTAGATCCACCGCTGCTCTCTCAGGAACCTCGAGGTGTCCTCTCCCGGAGCCGTGTGGCTGCGAACAGTACCACAGGTTCTAGAATATAACCGGTACTTCGGTCCTTAGCCAAAGGCCGGGCACATGCTAAGCAGGTTTCTCCTGAAACCGAGATCTAGGTGTTCACACCTTCAACAAATGCTCGTTGAACCCTTGCTGTGTAATGGTACCCGCCGGTTCACACGTGGCGGTGTTTTAAGTGTATCTGTTTAAACTTCCTGGCCTCGTGAATATTATAGTATAGTGCCAAGTGACAGATACATATATTCTTTTAGAAGGTGGTAAATAATAAAGGTAAAGGTAAGCAGATGACGTTCACAACAGAATAGGAACCTTTAGAACAAGGGACTGAGGTGAATTGTTGGTTGTTTTTTTTTTTATCAATATTTTCCTTTTTCTCAGTGGATAGCGTCAAGTCTCTTCCTCTGGGGCTGCTTTCATCCTCTCCTCGCAGGAAGAATGGAGTTTGTCTTCTCACTTAAACATGAGGACAAACTAGAACTTTCATTCAACGCCTTTGTTTTGGCTTTATTATTATTAACAGGTTCTATACTATAAATAAGTGGGCAGAGAGACAAGCTTCAATATCTGTATTGAAGCTGAAGATGCTCTCTGGTAGTACAGTATTTTCTAGACCAACACTGGTACTGTTTACAGTTAGAGATTTCCTCTGTTGAAATAGAAATAGTTGCTATTCCTTCTATTAGTATTGCATATTGCCATTCATGTCTGTTTCTTTCCATAGTCTAATATACAATATGTTATATTTATCTGTTATTTTGTACTACTATGATATGATATTCATGAGGACAGGGAATTTGCCTTTTTCATTTTAATTACAGAACATTTAAAATAGTGGTTTTGTTAGCCAATAAAATGGAAAAGGATAAATACAGAAAAGAACAATTCTGTTATCTAAGTTAAAAGTTCATGGTGATGTTTTTTGGCGAATTATGGACTTTAATGTTTTTGAAGGACTTAGTATGCCAAATTGTCTCAAACATCTGTCTAGGCTTCCCAGAAGGAAGGAATTGTTTTTTTAAAATACGTTTCTTGATTTTTTTTATCTTCCATTACAAATCTATTTTATTGCCATTATGCAAAGTCTTAAACACTAATAATGATATATTAAGCCTTCCAATGTAGAAGTATGAACATAATGGATATATACTGAGCTCAATTTTTCCCGTATGTTTAGGCATGTAAATTTTTCACTTGCTAACCCTTACTGGTCTAGAACCATGCCAACCAGGCTGGCCTTGAAGTCACAGAAATCTGCCTGGTTCTGCCTCCCAAGTACAGGGGTTGGAGGTATGCACCACTTCACCCAGCTAGGTGTGTAATTTCTTCAAAGATCAGTCACATTTTCAAATAGATACGTACATTTGAAATTTTGGTGTTTTTTTCAGGCTAAAGTTATCCAAGTTTATTAAGTTGCCAATGCTCTTTATACTGCCAAGAACACATCTGTAATTGAGTTGTGTCTGGGAAGTCATTGGAACTAGAAAGAAACTATACCATGGGTTCTCTCAGGCATTAATAATTTGATTTATACAATTTAGGCTTTAGACTTACAGACAGAATTTTAGTGATAAGGGTTTTACCTGGAATGCGTGTTTTGAGGTAATGGGAATAGTTCTATGATTGCATGAATTGTTATTTTAAAAGTAAAACTGATGAAGAAGAAAAGGTTGTTAAATTAGCCAGGACAAAGCAATGTTTGGCAGTTGTCATGGTTTGCACAGTGCTTTTGTTTTTATCAGTATTCAGACATGATCAAAGAATGCTTCTTTCTGTCGAGATCCATCGTGCTTTAGCGGCTCTGTCTGATGCTGGTGTCTGTAACAGGAGAGCACCGCTGCCAAACGGAGCGCCAGGCCAGCTTTAACCTGTGCAACGGCTGTGGCAGAGCAGCTCACAGACGTGGTCGTCTTTTCTTATTTTCCCACTTCTTTTTGAATTTAAGGCTTTTTTCATTTTTTTATTGGTTTTTGGTTTTTGTTTTTTTGTTTGTTTGTTTTTTGTTTTTTGGAGACAAGGTTTCTCTGTGTAGCCCTGGCTGCCCTGGAACTAGCTCTTGTAGACCAGGCTGACCTCGAAAGTCACAGAGATTCTCCTGCCTCTTCCCCTCACCACTGCTGTTCTTCCTTAACAATCTCATATCTTATAATTATCTTAAGTGCATTTGAGTAGTCTGTTTAATAGACAGCACCTCTCTAGAATGACATACTTTGTTTCATTTTTATTTCCCACAAAAGCTATGAACTCTAATTGTAGTCTTCATAATTTTGGAATAAAGGTCAAGTCTAGTAGATGATGTTTTGCCTAAATGACTGTTTTAATGGCCCAGTGCTAAGAGTTTCAAATGACTTTATTTTACAGCAGACAGCAAATCAAACACAAACAGATTCATTATCTCCATCCCCCAACCCTGTATCACCTGTGCCTTTGAATAACCAAACAAGTACCCCAAGATACGGAACCGTGATCCCTAACCGCATCTTCGTAGGAGGAATTGACTTTAAGGTATCTATCTGTGGGTGCAGTGCGGTGGGCAAGGAATGGTGTTTTGTTTTTCTTTAGAATTAACTATTTTATTTTTCAGCAGTTATTTCCTTCTATAACTATAAAAATTGCATATTGGATAATAGGCTTCACATTGTCTTGGTTTAAATACAAATAACCCTTTCAGTGATTATGTAGGTTAGTTTTCAGGGACATACCTGTCCAGTGGTACAGTGATTGTGTAGGCTAGTTTACAGGGGTGCCTATCCATGGCACATACAAGGAAACTGAGGCTTCTTTAATTTCTGTATCCCTTGTCACTTACAGATGGAAATATGCCTTTCATTTTTTCTTTCTTTAATTTTAAGTAATGTGCTTTTCTCACTGATTGCTTAATATTCTTCATTTTTCAGCATACTTCAGTTATACTTTGTTACATGATGCTCCTAGATAATTGATTATTTCAATTTTCAAATGAAAACTTAATCTAAATGTTTTAGTCTTATAAAGCCATATATACGTGAAATTTTTTAAGATTTATTTATTTTTGGTTTGTGATGCTTTATCTGCATATATACCTGCCTGCCAGAAGGGGGCATCAGATCCCATGAGCCTCCCTGTGGTTACTGGGAACTGAACTCAGGACATCTGAACAGTTGGCAATGCTCTTAACTGCTGAGCCATCACTTCAGCCCCCAAATCCTATATCTTTATCCCAACCTTTATCTTGCACTCGTAAGCCACATTCTAGACTTAAATTTCTTACAAATAGCTTTCTTTGATAGGATTTATAATCTGCTAATTTAAAAGACTTTGTTGTCCAGATAGAGAATCTGTACTTAATAGCCGCTCATCAGCTACTTCACTGTGAGAAAAACATAGTTGAGGTGGTTTTCAGTATTCCTGTGTAAGAGTGTAGTAGTAGATGTGAACAGGAAAGATGTTCATGAATGTTCTTAGTCAGATGCCCTTACCTTAGCTGAGTCTGTAACTCGGGGTAGAGGTGTGTCTAGCTTGTAGAGGTCTTAAGTTCAGTCTGCACATAGACATTCCTCTCCCAGGTGAATTTATAGAAGCGTTTCTAAGTTTACATATTAGCGATATAAGGAGAGATGCCTGTGGTAATAAAGGTGCCATAGTGTGTGATTTTGGACACACACCTTATACTCCTATCACAGTCTAGGTAAAATTACTTATTCTTTCACCTAAGAAAAATGTTATGCTTGGTACATTTGCCAAAATAATGAATCTTAAGTATATGATTGTTTCCCTATGAATAAATATGCTTTACAAAATGTTTACCTTTTGAAAGATTGTAGGTATGGAAAATACAGGTATTCATGCTTAGAATTCATTCCTATTAAACATCTTAGTGAACTTTTAAAGTAAGTATTCAATAAAAACATTTTCATGTCAGTCACTAAAACACATCAGGCCATTATGAACCTTAGAGGTTATTGTTGCCTACACAGCCATAGCATTAAAGTAACAGAATTACTTCCCTTCAGATGTGTGTTTCAAAACCACAAATAGTCCCTGTGAGGAAGTAATTTCCTGTAGTAGCAAACAGACTTTTAAACCTCAGTTGTGCCTCTGCAGGTTCAGTCTTGTTGACTTTGTCTTTTCCCTTACTCTACGAGTTAGTGATTTCTCCCGAAAACAGTTTGGATTCACTTTTCTGAATATATAGTAGTGGTTCTCATTTTAGCATTGACTCCATTTTTAGAAACTCCATTGTTATAATAAAAGTAATTCTCTTATTCTTAGATTTAGTGTTTATCGTTGTCCAATTTAACAGACTTAATTAATGCTATCATCCAAAATAGCAAATCGTGTATTTAAGTGAGGTAACAGTTGAGCTCAAAGTGAGTGGCTGTGCGCTAAGGCACCCTTTGTTTCTCCTTTAGGTAAACTTAAAGTTATGCTTAGAAGCAAACAGTTGCAACTGAATCCAAAATCAAATTGCCATAAATTCAACATAAATACTCTGGGAATAGTTCTTATTGTCTTACATATTTCCGTAAAATCAGATATTCCCAAACCATCTTTGTACGCATCTTGAACGTTGTGTGCCTGTTTTACTAATTTTATTGTATCAATGTAATGTCTGTAGTTATCTAAAATTTATGTTGAGTACAGGGAAAACATCTTGTTATTTGAAATATTATAGTCATTTTGTAACTTATTATGACAAATTCAAGTATTTGGGGGAAATATATTTCTTTCCCAAGGCTGAGTCTTCCTAAAGACTATGTTGATTACCTCAAACTGACTGGATGAGGCCATTGGTTTTACTGATGTACGGCTGCCCTCCCCAAATACTAGAGCAAATAATAATGCAACCTGACTATGGGTTTAGTATACACAATCCCCGTTAACATTGTTAAAGTCACTGAAGGAGTCCTTTACATAGTTAGCATTCTTTGCAGTCGTAGAACATTCAGTTGAAAATAGCTGCCTCGCTCCTACGTAGAGCAAAGCACACAGAGTTTAGTCACAGTGGTTTCGCCTGTAGTTTTTCTGTCCCCACAGCAGGCTTTGTAGCTGTTTCATCTTTTAGTGACTGAACATTTCTTCATGTTTTCTTTTTATGCCACCAGACAAATGAAAATGATTTAAGAAAATTTTTTTCCCAGTATGGGTCTGTAAAAGAAGTGAAGATTGTTAATGACAGAGCCGGAGTATCCAAAGGGTTTGTATCAGTTCACATAATATATAGAATAATGAACTGTGTTTTGTTGGGTTAAGTTTTGTATGCTAATATATTTTGTCTTCTTTTTCTTAGTAGAGAATTTTATGCCCACTTTTTTTCCTTACATTTGCTGTGTGTGTGCTTGCGTGCACACGTGATCTTTACTGGGGAATGTGATCTTTACTGGGGTAAAAGGGGGCTCTATAATATTTCTTAATCTAAAAACCTGCTTTTACATGGACCAAGGGGCCATTCAGTATAATATGGCAAAAATGTTGAGTGGAAAATTATATAGTAGTAGCTAAAGAAGCAGAAGCTGAAACAGCAGATACTTCTGGAATTGTGTTCTTTTTCTTAATCTATAAGAGAATTTATCGGAAAATTGCTGATCTGAAAGAATGGTCCGTGGTTCAGAATCTAGTCAAGGAACAAATGAAAAATGCAGTCTAATAAGAATGATAAATTGTCAAATCAAAAAATTTGTGATAACTTGAGAGTGGCCCCCGTAATCGCTCATATGTTAGAATGTTTGGTTCCCAGACAGTGGTGCTGTTTGAAAGGACTTGGCCTTATCGGAGGAAGCCTGTCACTAGATATGGGCTTTGGACTTTCAGAAACCTAAAGCAGGCAGGTCCGGTGCCTCACTCTTCCTGTTGTCTATGGATCCAGATGTTAAACTTTCAGCTCTCTCTCCAGCACCATGTCTGCCTGTATGCCACCATGATGACAGTGGACTAAACCGCTGAGTCTGTAAGCCATACCCACTTACATGTTTTCCTTTACAAGAGTTGCCATGGTCATGGTGTCTCTTCACAGCCATAGAGCAATGACTAAGACAAAAGTTGGTACCATGGAGTAGGTATTGCTGGGACAGGCTGGGACATGCTGCTTGTTGGTAGAATGTGGTCTTTGGGACTTTGGATGAGAAAAGCAATTGAATGCCTTCAGCAGGACTTAATGGGCATCCTAATAGGAACATGGAAGACAGTGGTGCTGAGAACAAGGTAGATTATAACACCTGGATCAAGAAGTTTCAGACAGGAAGAAAATGAGTAAGGGGCCACGAGATTGTTCTTGTGATATTTGGGCAAAGAAAGAGGCTGATTTCTGCCCTTGCGCCAAAAAAAAAAAAAAAAAAAAAAAAAAAAAAAAGCCTGAGGTTAAACTGAAGAGTTTTCGAGCACTGTCTCGGTTGCTTTATTTTGCTTGTGTATCTTTGAGGCCTTGTATCTTTTTTTTTCCTTTCTTACTATAGTTTAGTATTTTTACTTTGTTTTCAAAAAGCGATGTTTTTCTCTTTTATTATTCTTATATTTAATTTTGCTTATACATTTTCCCTTACTGTGCAGTCAGAATGATTTAACCTGCTGTTATTCATTGTGTTTTTCTGCATCCTTCTTCCTTTCATTTAACCTTCATTTAACCTCACCTCGCTTTTCTTTTTCCCCGCCTCCTGTCATTTCAATAATTTACTTTATGTTGATTTCACTGAGTTCTCCAGACCAAAAAAGAGAAGACCCAAATTAACAAAATTAGAGATTAAAAGGAAGTGATTGCTGTAGAAATCAATGAAATTCAGAAAATTATTAAAGTATATTTTTAAAACCTGTATTTCACCAAATTAGAAAATGAAGGAAATTAGTTTGTAGACAACATAGATAATATTTTTAAAAATAAACCAGTGTGTAACAGCAACAATGAGATACAAAAATAAACAACGAAAACTTAATTGGTTTGTAAGAAGCAGCAAGAACAGGGCTGGAAAAGACTCAGTGAGGTCACTTGCTGCTCCTTCAGAGGACCCCAGATTCAGTTTCTGGAACTCACGTTAGAACCACAGTCACCCGAAACTCCACCTAGGAATCTAACACCTTCTGGGTTTTGTGAGCACCAGGAACATAGATTTATGCAAAACACCCATAAACATAAATAATTTTTGTTTTAACTCTTTGAAACTGTGTTACTTTGCCTGTCTAAAGCACATGATTAATCTAACAAAGAACTGAATAGCCAATAGCAAGGCCGGAGCGGATAAGGGTTAGCCGACAGAGAAAATAAATAGGAGAAATCTAGGGGGAAAAGGATCAGGCGTGAAGGAGGAGGACTCCAGGGTCCAGTCCCCCAGCTACACAGTCAGGCACAGAGTGAGGGGAGAAAAGTGCATAGACTGTAGAAAGGTAAAGGCCCAGAGGCGAAAGGTAGACAGGATAATTGAAGAAAAGCTGGCTAGAAACAAGCCAAGCTAAGGCCGGGCATTCATAAATAAGAATAAGCCTCTGTATTTATTTGGGAGCTGGGTGGTGCCCCCCAAGGAATAAAAACAGCAAAAAACAACACACACCTTTAATCCCAGACCTTGAGAGGCAGAGATAGGTAATCTCAGCGGGTCTGAGACAGCCTGATCTACAAAGTCAGTTCCAGGACAACTAGGGCTTTTACACAGAGAATGAATCCCTGTCTTGGAAAATAAATAAATAAAATGTCACAATGAAACCTGTTACGTTTAGAAATCAATTAAAAGGCAAAACATTGTTAAGTAAAGGCATTTCAGAAAAATAAGAGTATACACACAAACAAGCTGTATTCTCTCCTGTGTTCTATCCATTTTCCACTGGGTGGTGTGTTATGCCAAAAATTAGTGTTAAAATAATTAATGTTTGGACAAACAGGTAGGAGAATTTAATTCTTTAGGAAAAAAGTTTCTTTGATGTTAGCGATGTAGCCAGGTAGTGGAGCGCTTCCACAGAAGGAATGGGGACCTTTCTTCCCCAGCACAAAAATAAACGTTAACAAGAAGGAATACTATTATCCAGTAATTATTAGTTGTAAAATGATAGTCATAGTTTTTAGCATTATTTGATATCTAAACAGGACTCATACATGTTAGTGATACGTATTTTTCTTATAGTTTAGCATTTTGAGCATGACATATACATGTATCCTATTTTTTTCTTTTCCTTTTCTTTCTAAACCTTAGAAAACAGTTTTGCTGTGTATCACAGTCTGAGCTGGAATTCAAAAATTTTTTTGCATCTGCTTCCTGATTGTTGGGGTTATTTGCATGTAAAAATCAAATATGAAAAAAATTAGTTTGCATTTTTATTGATGTATGAAAAATATAGTCATAGTTACATTACTAGTTTATTGTAACAGTAATGATTAAATGATGGATTTATAAAGACATATATAAATTAAATATAAGAAATTTTGCTTTGAAACTTTTGTTGTTGACATTTTTCTACTTTGATTCCTCTGAGGAAAACATTATTTTTATAAGTTGATTGGTTGGTTGGTTGGCTGGCTGGTTGGGTTTTGTTTGTTTGTTTTTTAAGGAAATTACAGGGATAAAAATGTTTTCAGTGGTAAAGCACTTGCCTTTTATGCAAGTGGGTTTCATCCACAACCTGGAGGATGGAGGAACAAAAAGAATCCAAAGACAACTGCACTGTTCTGAAACCTTCTGCATCCCGGGTGGGAAGCCAGGACATGAGTGCATCACAGTGCTGAAACTGTATGAGGATTGCTGAGTCCTTTATCCCCTCAGCCCCTGTCACTTTGAAAACCAGGGATGACAGTGTTAATCTGTGGTGCCCATGCTGATGCAGCATACCTACAGTGGCAATACTTAAAAAGTAAAACTGTTAATGCAGCTGTAGGCATGTAGTTCAGTGATTTAAAAAAAAAAAAACTTGCAGACCCTAGGTTCTTGAACTCCAAAATAAAATTTAATGTAATATTCTAAGAAAGTATTAATAATTAATTCATTTATTTAGGTATGGTTTCATCACTTTTGAGACTCAAGAAGATGCACAAAAAATCTTACAAGAGGTAAGATCTTTCAGTGTATTTAATTTCTGTTTTGGAACTTCTTTCTTTAAAACTAACCATTTATGATAATAGTAGAGTACAAGCCAGTGATCTACATGTATCTATATATGCAGATACATGTGTGTGTTTATCTTAAGATTGTCATTGACCTCTAAGAAACAGTCTGAAGAACAATGCATTCCAAGTCATTACATGAGGATGGTTGTTAAGTTATATTGTATTTTATTTTATTTTATTTGCTTAAACTAGTGATTTAAGAATGTGTCTCTGTGATGTATAAAAATTTTTTTGTAATTCCTAAGGAATACTCCAAATGTAAATTGCTAGAAAAAAATTAACTGATATTATTTCCTTCCTATGAAAAACTACATAAACCAGTAACATTCTTTAATAAAGTGTCTATAGCCTGTAGTTCACTTTGATATCTTTTAACATATGTAAGTATAACATTTAATCCTTTAATTATGTATTATTGGAATCATACACAGACAATTCTTACCCTTAGGAGTTTTTTATTCTATAAAGTCACCATAAAACTGATTTAGTAACTACTGAACTTCTGGTGTTCCTGATTGGAATACAAGACAAAGTTTCGAAATCCTCTAGTCACAGTATTGCTACCAGTAAATCAACATATGGCCTAGTTTTGTGTGTTGCTCCTTAAAGAAATTGTGTTCGCCAAGCTTGTGTTGCCTGTCACAGAGATCTGAGAGCAGCTGCTGTGAAGGCAGAAAGATGATGTCAGCTCAGGGTCTCAGGCTCCAGCTCATAGCCGCTGCCTCTGTGCTGTGGGGCACAGGCAGGCGGAACCTGTGACGGTGAGTGGCAGGAAGCAGAGGTGGCTGAGGAAGGGATCTGTGACCTAGTTTTGGGGAATATGGGATCATGGCTTGTTCCTCCAGCTAAGCCTTGCCCTTAAAAGTCCCATCATGTCCAATAATGCTCTCCGGTTACTAACAGCAGTGATCTGTTAGATCTGATCCTTTATCATCTGCCACCTCCTGTGGTTGGATCTGTCATTTGGGGCAAAGCATTCAACACGTGAACTTTTTTGTGGAGGGAGTGGACACTTCATATCTAAGCCGTAATAATCAACATATTTAGTAACTGATAATTATTGGATTCATGGCCAATAGGACTATAATGCCTGAATTAAGCATGACAACGTATTTCCTCCGTAAAATAGATGAACAATCTTCATGTGCTTAGGAACATTAGCTAGAACTTCAGCACCTGTGAGCCATTTTATTGTTTAAAAAAACACATAATGTGAAAGACATATCTTAAAAGGACATTTTATTATACTATGATAGCTAGAATAAGAAAAAATCATTTTGCTCTAACTGGGTGCTTTTGTGTTAACAAGTCGCACTTTCTCTACGTACCACAAATGACCTGGAAATAACTGTGAATAGTGGTTAGTAATGCACATGAGCTTCAGAGACACCCGAGTGCAGACACTAGCAGCTGATGATGACCACACCACCGAGCGCACAGCAGCAGAGCCAAGGTGAAGACCATCTTTATGGTAGTGTACTTGATTCCCAGTACCACTAAACCAGACAGTGTGGCACATCCCTCAACTGCAGCACTTGAGAAGTAGAGGCAGAAAGATCAGAAGTTCACTGTCACCCGATAATATGCCAGATTTGAGGGCAGTCTGGAACTCGTGAGACCCGTATTTTGAAAAAAGAAGAAACTGTCACATAATATCTGCTATTATGCTAGTTTCATACTGGTTTTTCTTCACTGATTTTACAAATCATGGTGTCAAATTTTACAAATCATGATGTCAAATGATTTTTACAAATCATGGTGATGGGCTTTTTCCTTTATTTTAGGCTGAAAAACTTAATTACAAAGATAAGAAACTGAACATTGGTCCAGCAATAAGAAAACAACAAATAGGGATTCCTCGTATGTATTGAGAACTAATATAGTTTTTAATAGTTTCTTGATCCTTTTGTGAACTATTAGACTATTTTAGACATTTTATTAAAATATTGTTTCTTTATTTAATAATTATTTTAGCAAAGTTGGTAGTCATATAACTATTTTTAACATAAATTAAAATATCTTAGCTTGAGGTATAGGGGAAATATACATGAACAATGTTAAGTATATTCTATTTAATTATGGTTTAAAGGAAAGTACTTAATTTTTAATTAGCATAAAAAGTAATGTGTTTTATGATAGCATTTTCTTTTTATTGAAAATTCATACAGTATATTCTGATCACAGTTTACCAGATCCTCCCCCACCATCCACCTCCACCCCTTATTTCTTCTCTCTCTTTAGAAGACAGACAGATAAATTTTAAAAGACGATCTTTAAAAAAATGAAAAAGCACAAGTAACACAGACACACCAAAACAAACCATAAAAACAAGAGTCAAAAATCATAATATACAAGTAAAAGATAAGTAAGTTTAAAAAAAATGCCCAGACGAACAATATGAGGCCAAAAATCTATAAAAATACAATTGCGTTCCTCTTGTGTCAGCTGTCTCCTGGGCATGGGCCGACTCTGAAGAGTGGTTTCTACGCCCAGTGAGACGCCATTGGTGAAAGCAAAGTTCTCCTTTACAGCAGCTGTCAGCTGCAGGTCGCTTCTTGGTTAGGGGAAGGAGCTCCTGTCCATTCCCTCACTCAGTGCTGGGACCCCATCTGGCTTGATTGCTACCACTGTCTGAAATCATAACGTGTGTCTGTCCTCTGGTGTGAGTTCATCCCACGTGCTCTGTGAGTCTTTGCTCCTCCTCTTCTACATAGCTCCTGAGCCCTGATGGCAGGGGTGGGAGAGTTGATGGAGACATCCCACTTCAGATGTTCCAACATCTGTCACTCTGTGCATTGTCCTGTTGGGGATCTCTGTGTTAGCCCCCATCTCCTGCAGGGTGATGACTGAAGAAGGCAGGACCTGCAGGTACAGGAGAATGTCATTAGGAGCCATTTGGTCCCCTCATCTGTGGGTGGCAGCCAGGCGTTTGCAGGTCCTGCCTGTTACAATAAAGCTGCTGTACACATACACAGTTGAGCAGGTGTCGCTGCAGTAGGATGCGGAGTCCTTTGGGTGTGTGCCGAGAGTTAGTTCAGCTGGATCTTGAGATAGGTTACTCCCAGCATCTTGGGGAATCACCACACAGATTCCTTGTACAAATTTGCATTGACGGTGGATCCACTAGCAGTGAATGACGTGTCCCTGACTCAACATGCGCACAGCGTGAGCTGGCTTTTATCTGTCTTAGCCATTCCGATAGCTGTAAAATGAAAACTCAAGTTCTAATTTGCATTTCTCTGATGACTAAGGATGTTGAAGTTTCTTTAAGTGTTTCTCAGCCATTTAAGATTCCTCTACTGAGAGCTCTATTTAGTTCTGTACCTCATTTTTAATTGGGTTTGTTCGTGGTGTCCAGTTTTTTTGTTCTTCATATATTATAGAAATTGTCTATGCCAGTGGTTTCTCAGCCTGTGTGTTGCAACCCCACTGTGAGGTCGAATGACTTTTTTTCTCTACAGCTGAATAAAATCCTTCTGTGTATATGAATGTGTGCCGCATTTTCATTATCCATTCGTCTGCAGACGGGCTTCTAGGCAGAGTCCACATCCTGCCTTTATAATTGAACAATAAAGACCCAGGTATTTCACTCTTGAGCATACATTCAAAGAAAAAAAATTATAGGAAAATATCACTTAAAATAGCTAAATAAATTTAGAATTCTAATTAAAAGTACTTGTGATTATAGAAGTACTTTATATTAGCCAAAGTATGGAAAGTAAAAATATATAACTAAAAACAAAAAAGTAACTGCATGTGTTTTTTAGTCAAGCCACATGTGCTCTAAATATCAGAGAAAACAATCGCTAAATCTTTGGATTAGATAACTTTTGTGTATGCCTTCTTCAAATTTTTATAATACTTAGACTCTTTTTTCTTTAACTTTTATATTAAGCACTTCTGTTGTATATTAAAGAAGATTTCTATAAAATAATTGCTAATTTTGTTTTTCCTTAGCCATATTGTGTGTCTACTGGGATGTAAAACCTTAGGCTGTTATTTATATCACTGTCAACAATCCTATAGACTGTTAATTTCAAGTGTTCTGTTGAGAACAGTTAACAAGTATTTGACTCAGCATTAGTTAACCTAGTTATTACAGAATGTATTGTGGACTGCAAAGCTGTCTGAGTAAAGTGCTTGCTGCAAGAATGAGAACTCGGATGGCTCTCTTAGAGCCGTGTCAAAGCAAAGCGTGCCAGCATGTGCCTGTGATCCCAGGGCCGTCAGTGAGCTCTGTGCTTATGACAGACCTATCTCGAAAATTAAAATGAAAATGATTGAAGAAGATACTTGACATCAACCTGGCCTCTGCATGCAAGTTCATAAGTAGTCAGACACACACCGAGGGACTGGGAGAGAGGCGGAGAGAAGATTATACTAAATATAGCAGGATTCTGAATATTTTCAGAATACTGTTGTTTGTAAGAGTTTAACTATAATAATCGTACCAACAGTTTTTGACCCATTGTCTACTGATTGTTTTCACATCTACAAATAGTTTATTCAGAACTAATGAGCAAAAGAGCCATTGTTGCAGTTTTTTATTCATCTCATGAAAAATCAACTTGAGAAGTGCTAGCTCTGTTTTTATAATACACATATCTGCCTTAAAAAAAATGGAAGTCATTTTAAAACCATTTAGTTACATCTATGAAATCTCAGAAATGTGGTCTACTAAACCAGACCTGAATAATGGAAATACCAGTTGACATTTCTGCTGAAGTACTCTTAATAATAGAGGAAAATTGACCTTGGCCAGCTGTGGCTCTTAATCCATTGTACACTGGAATTTTATATTTTCTTCTAAGTCTTAGTTTATGTAAAATCTCCAGGAATAATTTGCATTCTGCTTCTTAGTATCACTTATTTGATCATTTAAAGATAAACTTTTTCCATTAAAGTAACAATTGTTTGAATTAAACTGCCCTGTAAGAACACCATGTTCAACCTCTTCCTTGTCTCCTGGAGTAACACCCCATATTCTAATGGGAGAAGTATAGAATTGGCTTGCCCAAGTGGTAGTATTACCCTCTGTTCCAAGACTGCTAGACTACAAAGCTTATTTTTATTTTCTCTCCAAATAAAAATAAATACTAATTTATTTCTACAATTATAAGAGACTCATATCTTAGTTTTTCTCAAATCTGTTGTTTCTTTTTTATTTCATTACCAACGTTCTATTCCCGGCAGTCAGGTCTACTTGCCTTCACTATTGGGAAACCTCCCCTAGTGGCCCGTCAGTGTGCAGTCTGCTGCTGCTGCCACCTTACGTTACCTTATTCTCAGCACATCTTAACTGTCCTTCCCATTTCTGTTTGTTGATGTTTGTGCATGTGCACACAGGTGCTCGTGTGGAGGTGAGACGGTGACCTACAGTATACTCTCCTGTTGCTCTCCACCTTGTTTTTGAGACAGAAGTGTCTCACTGAACCTGGTACTTACTGACAGCTCTGGCTGTCTGCCTGTCTCCATCCCCTCCCCACCCACCCTCAAGACCGGGGTTACAGATGTATATTGCCATATATGGCTTTTTATACAGGTGCTGGGGTCTGAACTCAAGTCCCGGGGCTTCATGATCGTGCTTCCCTGGCCTTTAAAGTCTCAGTGACTCTGTGTGTGTGTGTGTGTGTGTGTGTGTGTGTGTGTGTGTGTGTGTGT